AAGCATGGCGGTGACCTTGGCGACCTCTGGTGTTTACGGGAGCCGGGTGAGCTCATTGGCGGACACAGCCAAGTTAGCGCTTGGAGTCTTGTAGACGTCATGGCCGTCAACACGGACAAATTCGTCGTCGAGGTTGCGTTGAAGCGGGCGTGGCCTTCCTTGTGAGTCGAGCTGATCGTTGCGAGCAGCCTCGGCCAGCACAAGGGCATCCTCGTTTGCTCGGCGCTGTGCATGGTTGATGTTCCTGTTGACGCGGGCGGCGCGTTCCTCCTTGGTTTCCCCGTCCCGTGGGGGGCTATCGACGCTGACATTAAAAATTCCGCCTCCATGGAAGGGCGGGAAAGGAGGTTGTACGACAGTGGTTTCGGCGATGGTCTCCATAGAGCCCTGGGACTCGGAGCCTAAATTTTCCTCCAAGATGGTTTGGAGGGATGCTTCGGGGCGTCGGTCGACGTGTAGCATGTTGACAGTCGGAGAGAGCTGGTCGGTGATATGGTTGGTGAGAGGATGGATATCTCCAACCTGGTCGGCGAATTTGCCCCTTAGGGCATCTTGATAGGCGGCGGTGATGCTGGTGAGCCCAAAGGGTAGGGCTGTAACCCCTGGAGTTTCCCGATCAGCCTCCGATAGATCTAGATCGGAGGGTGGTCGGTGCTGAACCAGAGTGGTCAGAGCCAATTCTGCGATGGAGAGGCAATCGTTGAGCTTCTGGCCAACCTAATCGGTAGATGCGATTAGATCGTCATTGTTGATCTACCTCCTCGGGTAGTGGGGGAGCGGGCGGCGAATTGTCGGCGAAGACGACCTCAGAGGCGGTTCTGAGATCGGATCTACAGTCGCAGGTGTTGGGGTGATCGGCGTAGTATTGATCTACACCAGCTCGATGAGCTCTCCGACTCTATCAGCGTTGATGATCTAGGAGATCGATCCGACCGTGAAGATCTGGCCGGGCTGTGGGAGGGACGAAGAGCCTACAAAACGTACCATCTTGTTCGACATGGAAACAGCACGCACACCCCTACCTGGTGCGCCAACTATCGACAGAATATCGTCGGCAGTCCTCCGAGGGGTATCCTACGAAGGTAGATTGATCGGCAGAGATACGTATAATCGAGAACAAGAAGGCAACAGAGACACACGAGTTAGACAGCTTCGGGTCGTCAGCACGACGTAATACCCTACTCCTGTGGTCTGTTGGATTGTATTGGCTATCGTATGATATTGCATGTGTTTGGAGGGGGTCCCTGCCCGCCTTATATAGTCCGGGGGCAGGGTTACAAGTCGGTTAGATCTAGGAGATAACCGGAAAGTAATAACAGATTATAGGAATCATGGGATCATACGTATCCTAACAGATCTCATAGCATCTTTAGAATATCTTCCCGGTGTCTCGCGGGACGCGCCGAGCAGCGTCGTGCCCCGTAAGGCTTCGTCTTGTGGGCTGGGCCGCCCCTGGGGGCGCAGCCCATGTGGTCTGTCGTGGGTATCCGGGGTCGTACCCCCCACATTTTTCTAAAAAAAATTAGTCCTACAAGAATTTGGTCCCAACAAGTTTATTTGTAGAATGACATCCAACTTTTTTGCGACAAAAGAAGAATTATATTAGATAATAGCTGGGCACATCAACATATTACAAGCACTCTGAAATACACTACATATATCCAAAAACTGATTTTCATCTAAATTGTACCAACGCTGTGAATTGCTCCAAATCTCAAAACCAAACCTGTTTGATGCTTCGTATGGATGGCCACATAGACAAACACTCGGCAATAGGCCTGAGAACAGATACCCAACGAACGACGACCAACATCCCTGCAGGCAGAGTTAAGAAACTTCATCTTTCTTGTGTCTTCCTTCTTCTTTCTGCCACGAAGAATGAGGAAGACTGATCTAAAACTTATTCTCCCTAGTCCTTCATCGTGGGCCATATCAAATCACAAGAAAACGAAGAAGAGACCGGAGAAAATTATTCCATGGCGGTGACATCATCTCCGCCTTGATGCCGCCCTCCGAAAAGAGAAAGCCTCTATGTCGTCATGCTTGTAAAGTTGCTGACGCCGTAGTTGTCGTCCTCATCTTCAACAGAGCTGTTATGGAGAAAAACGATTCGATCCTGCCCCTCGCCATCGTCGAAGAGGAGGAGATAAATCCCCAATGCTAAGAAATTTGACATAGAGAGACCCTAACCCTAAGAACTCAATTTACTAGAAAATTTATTAAAAACAATTGAGTCCGCTGGCATGCTCTTTTTTTTTTGTTTTTTCTGAGAGGGATTCCGCTGCCATGCTCATGCTCCCACTTCCTCAACTACTGCCAATTGGGCCACTCCTGCCAAGAAGCAAGGCCCGTAGGCCCATCCGGTTGCAAAGGTTTAATGGCTGTAGGCCCGTGGCTTTGCATACACGTGCGAGAGGAGGTGGGCAGATATGGTAGGCCCATCCGATTGCAAAGGGTACAATGGCCCAAGCCTGTCGAACCAAAACGGCAACCAACACGCCATCGGGACGCAGAGAACTTTTGTTTTTAGATTTTTGCATAGTTCCCTTGAATCTTGATATGGATAAATAGTGGCAAATATGCTCGTTGCAATAAAACGTATAACTTTTTATACAGTCATCTAGATGATTTGTGGCTCAAACATTTATTGTCATCCGTTCAAATACGTCTTGAAATTAAACTGTCTATCGTCACTTGACGCATCTTGAAATTGGACTTCATATAGTCGCTGGACGAATGTTGTTCTAACTCGTGCGAGCATGGGTCATTATTCTAGATCGCATATGGTCCGCGGGTAAAACACATATGACCGTGCTATTAGCATGTTGCACCCACACTTCTTTGCGCCCTTGCCCGGCTCTGACAGCGAAACGCTGCCTCAGTCGTTGCCAGGGACGAAGCCAGAAAAAAATTTAGGAGGGGCTGAATAAAAGAATAGAGGCTTTTTTATCTTCTCTTAACCTTAGCCTCTCCTACCTAATACATATATGCATAAAATTTTAAGGGAGGGCTTAGGGGGCTCTACGTGCCCAGGATTGGTAGGGGGGCTAGAGCCCCCCAGCCCCACCGCTGCCTCCGTCGCTGGTCGTTGCCTACGATCGCCTCTAGCTAGCCCTATCCTAACGATATTCTCCAACTTTGCATAAATGCCCCCTCCACCCCACCCCCCGCGTGCCTCTGCCACCTCCTACTCGACTTCAGCGGCGAAATGCTGCCTCCAGTGCCGTTCACAATAGTCATCGGCCCTAATCACAATTTCTATCTCCTTCCTCTCAAGTTGATGCTGCCCCTGCCATCCTGCTCCCACCCTGTATCGGTCGCCATCATCGTCAGTCCGTTGGCCTCTCACAAACATTCCTTTATAGATGGAGAACATAGAATTGCCCAACCCCAACCCTAATGCTCTAACCCTAATGCTCTAACCACTTACTTGGCATAAGGGCTCATTAGATCAACTCGACTCATCAGAGGAGACATTGGGTCAGCCATAAGGGCTAGTTGACTAGGATTCTCATCTACCTGGATGAGAGAGAAAAAGGAGAACTCGTGGCTATCGACGAGTAACTCGCTAATCAATTTGCAGCTCCCAAGACAAAGCACACTTCTTCCACCATGTTCTCTCCACTTCTCATGTTAAATAAGTAAACAAAATACTCTTCAGGATGGACCTACAGGGTGAGTCAAATTTCAAATAGCTAGTGACTGTCTATTTCCATTGAAAAACGCCCTAAATCCGAGGGAGAGAGAGAGAAGGAAAGTAGAGGAAGATGAGAATTTGTGGGGTGTGAACCAATAGAAGCGAGAAGACATAAGGCAGACTCGGCCCTGTGTGCTTGTATGTGTTAAGGGCCTGTTTGGTTGCCCAGACAACCTTGGCAGGAGCTACAATCCCGGGTGTTCGATTTCAACTGCTTGGGGCCAGGATTGCAGCCTGGCCAGCAGGTTGCCTAGGAGGCTCCGAAATAGACACGCCCTAAATGTGCACACGCCCTAGGGAAGGCTTTGCCACAAAAAAAAAATCAGCCAATTTTGGGAGTCAAGAACGTGTCAAATTACACGTCAGTCCACTCTTGTGGACCAAGAAAGATGAATAAAATCCCTAGTGTGTGATTCTGAGCGGAGGGCGTACAGACTGTTTTGTCGGCCCTGATCAAGAACATGGAAGGATTCAGCGATATTCTTTCAATATGCGTCGATTCTGGTTGCAGGTAGTTCATATCTATTTCCTTCTCATTTTGTGGCCGTGAATGCCATGAAAACGTGGCCAATTAGGTATTGGAGCTGATGAAGAAGCCCGCATGTGGGTTACAGAGCTATAGGTACTATGTGTGGCTTAGTAATTCTAGGTGCTTAGTTGATAATATGATTTGTGGAGCTACCCTGCGGGGGCTCTGGAAACTAAGAAACAAGCTTTGTTTTCAGCGTTCTCTTTGGAAGGATGGGAGACTCCTGTTACTGAAGGTAACAGTGATGATCCAAGATTGGAGTATTCTCTGTCCGGAAGAAAAATATCTGGAGCTCAAGTTGAAATTGGGGAACCTATAGATCCTGGCTACAAGACCACACAGATTGCGTGGCTAGCCCAGGTGGATGGTGATTGGGAAAAGTACCTCTACAGCCATGCTCTGGACTTGCAGCAGGCCAACCTGCCGGCTGAAGTGAAAGCTCATCTGGTGAACCACTCTGATATGGAGAAGGCTGCGGAGGAGAAGTGGATCAATCTGTATCAATTCAAATCGGTTTGGCATAATGTAATAGGCGTTTTTGTTGTCAGTTTTAGCTTGATGGTTTGGGTCGTTTTCTGCTGCTGTTTGGCTTTTCGGAGTAAACTGGATGCTGTATCTGAACTACACTGTTTCTGTCTTGGTTAATACTAAGGCTGGGGCCTCGCCCTCCAACTCTAAAATAGAAAAAAAACGGGCCCACTGATCGTCTTCAACTTCAGCTTCCATAACGACCCTTGTGCTACCATCGTCATCGCACCTCATCAGCAGGTTGCTCTACTTGTGTATGCCGTCATTTGGCCCCAGATCATCGATCGGCGGCCGCTGTTTGTTGTGATTAGTGACGGACTGGTATGCCATTGCCAGCGCCAGAGCCTGCGAGGAAATGGGAGTCAATACAACAGGTAGCCATGGTTGCCACATCGCTGCACCGGCAGGTTTCTTCGGTCTCACTGAGGCACTGACAGGTTGCCCTACTGATGCTGACATCTGATAAGAACAAGAGGCTATGAGCGGAGGAAGCTTACAATGTGGTCGTGGTCAGGAGGAGCGTATATGCCTGTCGTCACTGTGGTTCTTCTCTTTGTACCGCCTTTCGGTGGGTCCTCAATGCTCTTCAAGCCCGTCGGCACCACGACCACAGGCATACCAACAAGGTTCCCGAGACAGACGCGCTCCCAGTCGGTCACATTGCCAACAAATGCATCAACTGTGAAACTATCTTTGATTTCTCTGATCAACTTGCCCCGTGCTCGCTGCGCCTGTTCATCAGAATTTCAGAACACAAACACTGTAACTCGGCTCCAATGGAGAAGTTGAGACATATAAATGTGCAGCTTAGTTTCCTCTGATAAATAACCTGTATATAGTCCACTGCTGGGATTAACCGCGCACGACGAAGCTCTACTGGCCACTGGTCTTCCGCCTCATAGTCATCATCATGTCCTTCCCGCTGCCAGTTGTCGAAGTGCGCAAGCATATCAGTGTCCATCGTTATGTTCAGGATGGACTGGACTGATTCGACAGTGTAGTTCAGCTTGAAAGGGACCAGTTTGACACCTTTAGAGGAAAGAACATGGACAACCTGGCATGATCACAACAACAAAAATATGTATCGTGTTTGAGGAGCAAATCAGGAATGATCAATACACAAAACTACAGACAGCTGAGCAGATTAAAAGCTCTGTACTACCTCCATCTCAGCGTCATCAAGATAGCCAACAGTGAGTTTGGTGATGTCAACATGAAATGGATCACCCAAAGCAACCTCGCGAGATGACGGATCACCCGCATCCTTTCCACGAATTGCGTCTAATACAATAGCACAATCTACTGCACTTCTGCAGAAAGGTCCCAGCTTGTCCTGCAATTTAGACTCATATATTCATCACTCAAAAGATCGACAGGAATCTGAAAATGCCAACAAAGAGTTCGCATATAAATACCAAACTCTCAGAAATGCTCATGACATCAGTTCGTGCAACTGTTCCAAATGTTGGGCGCAATGCAGTTACTCCGCATCTAGCAGCTGGATATGTTATGGATCCTGCAGTTTCTGAACCAATTGCGAATGGAACCATTCCTAATGCAGTGCAAAATCACAGCTTCAGTACATAGTTTATAAATTTCTAGGTTCACACATACATGTCATATAAACTAACCTGCAGAGGTGCTAGCCGCTGGACCTGCCGACGAGCCAGTAGAGAATTCCTCGATGTTCCAGGGGTTTCGTGTCCTTCCCCCAAACCATATATCATCATAGGCAAGCGAGCCTGTGACAAGCTTCGCTACAAGGACTGCTCCAGCCGACTTCAATCTGAAGGAGGATGGCAGACATTAAAGATAGTAACTGCTCCCCCCATCCCAAATTATAAGACTTTCTAGCTTTTCTAAATACATAGCTTTTGCTATGCATCTAGATATCCATTATGTCTAGATACATAGTAAAAGCTATGTATATAGAAAAGCCAGAACATCTTATAATTTGGAACAGAGGGAGTAGCAATCTAGCCCTGATATCACGAGATAGCCTAAAATATGATACATAAACTGGAAAAAAAAGAACAAACCTTTTGTACACGTACGCTTCACTATCAATGACTTGGTTCTTAAACGTCCTTGAGCCCCAAGTGGTCTTGTAGTGTGGTACTGCAATTATATCTTTGAGGCCATATGGAATGCCATGCAAAGGACCTGGTGTCAGTGTGAATTTTTAGCATAAGTGCAAAACATTGGCTAAGGAGTAAACACTCAGTTTGAATACCCTAGTATTCATATAATGGCATAATTAACCCTACAGAGAAAAAAAGACACTAGTCAACATTTTACACCACGGATTCTCATGCAGTCAGTCTATTAGTCATATGAGCACAAACTTCAAGCGGGCTTGAAATAGAATGTACTCAAATAGGACCCCGATGAAAATCAGCTGCAATGAGAAGCTATGTATACAAGAAATAATTCTAAATGAACCGAGGGAAAAGGTACAAGTACTGCCAATAGTAGATAATGCTTTAGAAGCTCAGGCTGATTAGCTATATATATACCAAGATATTTTCCTTGTGCCAGCAAGTCATCTGCTTCCTTGGCTTGTTTGTATGCTAAATCTTCAGTATATGTAACAACAGCTTCCAGAACAGGATTGTACCTGATAGATATATCAAGGAGTTGCATTACTAAAATATGTTAATTGTGAGCCACATGCTGCATTCACACAAATCCTATGAAGAATGCACGGAAGACAGAAACATATATATTGACCTCTTTAATCTCCTCAGGAATATATCTGTAAGTTCACATGATGTTATTTGCTTTGTCCTAATAAGCTCTCCGAGCTCGATTACCTGACATATGGATATTGCTTATTGTTTTGAGAAGGGATAATTTTTAATAATCAACATGTGACACAAGATGGTTCAGAAAACTGACCGACATAAATGCAATATCTTCATCATTAGTTGGACGATGTACAGAAGGCGCACGAGGGTACTTGAAACTTCTAGTCTCACTTGCCATGCTGTCACTGCTCCATGACGATTTAAAGAGTAGAACAGAAGGGTTATGCAAACCACCATTCTCTGACGCGACCAATTTCCGATTTTCTCTGAATGCAGGTACATTGAATTCCTTTGCACCATCTTCCATCTCACGTAGCTACAAGCAAGGAAAACAGCATGCACTAAAAAGCAACATTAACATATTACTTCATGTGGATATAAAAAAAAATAGTTCATATATACTTTTGAATCATTGAAGAAATCAGCATCAAAATACTTCATGGAATCCTTTAAAGCAATGACATCGCTAACTGGTTCTTTCTTCGGAACATCTTTTGCAGAAACAAATTTCTCCGTTTCCTGAAAATGAACAGGACAAAGTGATGGTCCAACGCTCCAGGATAAATTGCTTTGCAGAAATAAATAGCATCAGATTTAAGTATTTAACAGTAAGAAAAGTCGTGCCTTCCAAATCTTGTGGTATTTGGAAACAAGAGTATACGAGGGACACCTCCCACTGTTTGGTAAGGGAAACCATTTACATTTTGATGGCCACGCCTGAGTACCACAACAAATAAACATAAACAATAGCGATATAAGAGGTTTGATGAGATGAGGCTGTACATGAACTACTTATGGTCTTAAGATTTGGCACTTGACATTGAGAATAAAAACTAATCTTAAATTCAAATGCAAACGAAGTTTAATGAGTACATGAATGATTACTGTAGTTAGAATCATCTTTAATTATGTTTTAAATCAGTTGAAGCTGTTCATTTTATCATTTATATCAACATAGAACTCTTTAGTCATGGCCTTTCTGCATAAATGCTAAGATATGGCCCACGAACAGATGTAGTTAGAAACCTTACAGGGCCACTTATCATCAATATAAAATTTGGCACCTGACGTTCAGAAAACTAAATCTTTGCAAAATATGGTTGATGTGATACAAGAACTTATGTAGCACTATAAATGCATAACCACTTGGTACCATGAAATGTATAACCACTATAGCTTGTATATCAATGGAAACTATCCGATTCACTCTTGTAAGTCTATATCATGCTCCTATACCTAGCTCTGTATACTATCCGCTCCTTGAATACCTGAAATCAGCTTCTACTCTTTTTTCCCCCTTGAACAATGTCAACTTCTACATGAGAAAAGGGGACCTTGCTGCAATAACAAATTTCAGCATAACAATTAAACTAATCTATTGGCATGACCTTAACCAGCAGGTCCAATCAAGTTTACTGTACGCATTGTCCTGGTCGATGACCCTGCTGATTCTGACCATCGGTTTGTCAGTTTCTGCAGATTCTATTGCTACGCGAACATTGGGTGCCAAAATGCTGCGGCCTATAGCTGTCGCACCTCTATCCAATTGCAAGTTTTCAACCACCTACCCTTTGCCTCTGCTCTTATACTAAAAAAAAAATCCTTTGCCTCCGCTGCCAACCGTGCTATGAACGGCGCGTATTACTAGTATATTGCAGCAGCAGCTACGAAGCAACGCATCTCATCTCAGAAGTAATTCAGTAAACCAATGTCAACGACGATGAACGAACCATCTCAATCCTCAGCCAGCGCCATGGAAACGTTCGGAGCAATTCACCCTCCTCGCTGTGATGCTGTGCTGCAGGCCGGCCATTCACTGGTACTGTGGCCGTAGCCGCTACTGAAAGAAAGCTCACGCCTTTTTCTAGGACTAGGATTGGGGACGCAAAAAGAAAAGGAAAGAAACAAATTCGCGATGAAGCAAGCATGAACTGGTTCGGGAGAGAGGGAGAGCAAGAAGGGGTCATATACCATGGCGAACCTGGCGACAGCAGCGGTCCTGGTCCTGATGAAGCCGCCTTCTCCTCCTGCTGCTCCGCCCGTGTCCCCTGCTGCTGGTGCTACCGCGGCGGCGGCAGGGCCTGACGTCAGGATGGCGGCGAAACAGAGGATGGAGATGACAACAGGGAGGTGGAGGGGGCGGGAGGAGGGAGGTGGCGTCGGTCGGGGAGGACGTGGCGGCCGCATGCCTGACACCTGTCGTCCGCGCGCGGAGACGCGCGTGGGCGCAGGCGGAGGAGAGAGGAGGGGACCGGAGACCGGACAGGGAAGGAGGCGGCGGGGGCCCGGGTCTCGCAGGTGCAGGCTTGCAGCTGCTGCCGCTTGGCCGTGGATGAATATTGGCCCCCCGAGCTCACTGCAGAGCTCGCTGTGCGCTTTATGGTGCGATTTTCATATTATTTTAAGTTAAAATCAGTTGCAGAATGCAGATCACACCACGTGCTACCACTGCTATTTAGACCACATCCACAATGTTTGAGGTACTTGATAGAGTATTTTTATTTTTATGGACTACTTTCCTCTAACATTGTGATTACTTTTATGGACCACTGTTACAATGTTCCAGCCACCTAGTGCTGAATATTAAATTTTCTAAGGACTACTTTCTGGCAATACTGTGGTTGCTCTTAATATAGCGATCAACTTCATCAAGACCGTATGGAAGGGTTCCGACATTTCAAAATTCATCCGTGGATTGACCCCGTTCCACCCTCTAAACCAGACAAAAAATTAGGTACCACCATATGTCCTCAACTATAGCTTACTTGTAATATATCTAGAATTCTAGATACATAATAGAAATGACGTATTTAGAAAAATCAAAACAACTTATAAATTAAAATGGAGGAAGTAACTTGTACTGCCATTTAAGAATGTTGGTAGTATTTCTCATTCGATTGTATGAATATAATTTCACACCTCGAGACGAGAATGGTGAATTTTAGGTTATATGATTTTGAAAACAATATAGTGGTAGGTTTCCATTCTTAGAGTGTCAAATATTGATTTTTCACCAATTGAATATTGAATGTTCACAAAGGTAGTCCCTCCATTCTAAATAGTACGTCATTTTAGCTTTTCTATATTCATAATGATATCTAAATGCATAGCAAAAACTATGCATTTTAAACAGTCAAAATGATTTATAATTTGGAATGGAGGATGTATGTTTTTAAATAATTCTGTATATTGAAGGATTTTTTTTAGTTACTGCATTAAACAATTTAAAAATTCAAAATTATATTCCACGCAGCATCATCCTAGCATTAGAATGGACCGGTCTGGCCTAGCCTTTGGTAGGAGAGGTATGACCCTCGGGGATCAAAGGGGACCATTTAGATTCAGGTTGTCTTATTAGGTTCCTTTGGAATACAAAAGCTTCTAATTTTTATGGTTTTTCTATAAAAAGCAAATTGGTTTCTATAAAACTAGATGAATTCTCCGCGCGTTGCTGCAGGAATTTGCTGATAAATCACTAATGTGGGAATTCTAGGACTATGCCTCCTCTTTCCTATTCCTCCGGCAGCTGAAGGTATGCCCAGAACCCTTGTAGCATATCTGAGGTAACGGCGGATTAGCTTTATAAGACTTACGGGACTATTAAGCGATTGAAGATTGATGTGGGCATGCATTAGCTTGAAAACACCGGGAGCGTACAAATAAAGTGGAGCATTAATAATCAAGGTCAATAGTCTACCTTTTTCGTAAAGAAGAGCATGTCTCCCTGGCTACTAATCAATTGATGGGCTGTGGACTATGGTGGGAAGGTGGGAGGACGAAGGAATCGCTAGTGACCTTTCAGAAAAAAAATCTGAAGAGAAATAGAATGGATGCTCAAGCTATTAAATGTTGATGACATGAATCGCCGTAGGATTAGATAGAATTAATAGTGGGGTTTACTTTTATAAGAGATATACACCTTGTTCGGCTGATATAGTTTCAGCTTGTTTCAGTTTATTCTCTCACAGAATACTATTCAATCATCCAGAAGAATCCCAAAAACACTGTGCACCAGACCATCCGAACGAGGTGATAGATTTCTACATATTTTTTTATAAAATTTCCGCATTCCAGAAGAGGTCTTAGAAGTTAACAATAAATGTGCTCCCGCTCGGCTTACCTTAAATCCTACTCCCTAGTGGTCCCGTTCGGCTTATCTTAAATCCGGTTTGTTCGGTTTCTTTTTTCAACTGGAACCGTGTCTTTCTCTCACAACATTTCAGCCAAAACAGTATTTTTTAGCCCAGTTTCAGCAAGCCGAACGGGGCCACCAGGGAGTAGGATTGAAAATGAACGTTGTCCCGTTATGTTTTCTGTAATTAACTCCTCCGTTTCTGCATTTCTGAGAAGCACATGCACGACGAAAAGTGGGACGGAACTGGTTAGGAGCAAAAGGAGAAATGGGACTATCCCGTCCATATCTGGGATACTGTTTTATCTAAAATTTAATCCATAATTATCCCTTGTTAACTATACCAGGATAGGCCAAATGTCTAAGCCCGTTGGCCCACTGAAGAGGCCCATGAGGCCGACATGCTATGCAATACGACCCAAGAGCATCTCTAGCGTTTCTCAAAAAAAAAAAAAAAAGAGCATCTCTAGCTCTCTCTCTCTGTCTCTTAAAAAAGAGCATCTCTAGCGGTGAACATATTTTTATGTCTAAAATAATACACCAAGGATTCTGGTTTTAATGTAGGGCATAAATGTTTTAGCTTCGATTGTGAACTGTGATCTTTTCTTTAAAAGAATATGAAGCAAAAAGTTATTTCTAGGAGATTAAGGGGTGTAGTATACAACACTTCCTCTGTTTTTTATATGTATTATTAAGTTTGTTCTAAGTCAAATATTTTTAATTTCATTCACCAATTTTTAAAAACCTATATTGTCTCAAAACATATGAATATATTATGAACTAAAAATATGAAGATTATTTTATTAATTCATATAGAATTAATTAGAATTGAAAAATAGAAAATATAAAAATGTTTGATTTGCAACAAAACTGTCATGATATTAAAAAAAGAAAGAATCCTGCCTAAAAGAGGCCCAACGTTGGATTACGGGGCCCATAAAGCAGGTACAACCATAAGCCTTATGGCCCAGATCAAAGCTATGACCTCTAACAAAAATGGTGGTGGGGGGAGGGGAATGCCGTGGCTCTCGCCGTCGCTGGGCATGACCACCACCAGTGTCTAATCCGGCGCGGCGGCGGGCTACCACCACCAGCGTCTAATCCAGGTTTCGCAAGGAGGGAGGATGGTGTTACTTGTACCAGATGCTTCACCCTCGACGAGCAGGGCATGGAGATCCAAGAAGGACACCGTCACACCGACAGCGGCTGCTTAAAACTGCGGTAAGTTTGCAGCTTCGAATTTTGATTCGTTTGTATCTCAAAAAAAGAGGATTTTTTTGATTTATCTTGGGAGATTACATTTCTACTAGTTCCTAGCGGGAAATGGTTCCCTTGGACGATTCCAACCTTTACCGTGCGTTCTAGAAGTAAGACCGACTGGAGCTGGGGAATTTTCATTTTGCTGACCCGAGTAATATAAGCGGTTATGCTTTTATTTTTTTGGGGGAAAAAAGCACTCTCTCTTTTTTTATACAGAAAGAAGCTGCTTTACTATATGTCTTGAACTGAAACTTGGTGAATTTAGGATACGTGCTGACGAGGGCAAAATAAGATTCGACTCCTCTCATGTCCCTGTTTATGAAATTTGCTCATTTTAATCCAAATACTGCTCTTCTGTAACATTGGCTTAGGAATGGGGATGACAGAGGACAGTCCACATGCTCTGGACGGCATCTGCTGCATCGAGTTGAACTTTTTGACAGCAGCATTCATGAACCTATTTCATGCAAGACAAAGAGTGCGATGCGGGGACTGGGAGGAATATCACTGAAGATTCTGAAAGTGCTACCGAACAAGGTGAGCGTTCATGCCACGTTCAGAAATCAGAATATAATTGCAGTGATATATATGGGTACCTGTTATTTTAATGGGAACTGAAAAAATTGGATTAGTTTCTGCAGCTAAAAGTTAGTAGTAACCTATTTAGTTTTCCTGTCTATTAAGAGAAGGGGCATTCTCATGGAAACATTTGCCACGAAAACTCTCTGTTATATGATAACGATGATCCTGGATGGCATATGGGCATTCCTACTTTTTTAACACTCTGTGGACAAAATAATGGAATGAACAAACTACAATCACCAAGCTGAGTATGTAACGAGAGGAACTCATTCGTTTTATCTGAATGACAGTACTGCAGGACTCGTTTCAGACTGGTCTGAACTTTCACTGTATAGGAACAATAGCTGAAAGTACTGTTGGCTGAAAGTGCTGTTCGTTTGGGCTGGTTTGGCTTATAAGCCATGGCTGAAAGTACTGTTGGCTGATTTGGTGTGAGAGAAAAATACTGTTCGTTGGCTGATAAGCCATGGCTTATAAGCCAAATACGACCAAGCGAGCAGGCAACAAACTTCGTTGCTTCGTGGTTTCTAAAGAAAATTTTATTGCAGAACATCTGTTGCCATCAATCAGACTGCAGTACATGGTGCATACATGGAGCCGTGGAAGTAAAGGCAAACTATCAGTTTTTGGTGTGGATGATAATTAGGAAGAAATTTTCTACTTTTGAAGTGACAGAAAAACAGAAATTTTGAAGTCACTTGATCTTACTACAAGATAATTCTGAAGATTCATGCTACAAGCCTCCAACTTTGGATCATTCTAATCCCATACAGGGGTAGGGGTGAAGCCTGAATGGGGAATCAATGTACTTCTTAAACCCAGCAAAGGCAATTCAATTGACCAAGAATAGAAGTACTGAAGCATACAGTGTCATCAAGGGAGCGCATTGGCGTGCGCTTGCTGATTCTTAGAATTGATTCTGCAGATTGTATTTGAAAACATTTGGGTTACTGATGACATGGATAATTCTACCTTGAAACTTCGGTTAAATATTTTAAAAGATACCACCTCCGCCTCGAACTCAAAATAATTGCGACTTATATGTTTAAAAAATCTGTTAGAAAAGTATATCTGTAACTTCTGGGCCAAGGGCGGACCTACCCTATAGGCGAGCCCCAGCTACGTGCTGGCAATCCTTTTTTTGTGAGCAAAAGAGCTTTCATTTAGCTAGGCAAAATGTTTGTACAATCGACATCGAGGGCTTCTTCTACAC